CAGTATCGCTTTCATCATTGGTGTTTACATCAAGGTAAAATATTTTAAATATATTACATATAAAGGACAATAGTTTTATTGCAATGATATCATTTAATTCAAAAAAAAAATTTGATGAATTTTTAATGTTAAATTCATTTACTATATATAACAATAGTTTCTATCATTGTTTTACTGATGATTCTCTACCAATGTTAAGGTTGAGAGGTACACTAGAAAAATTAAATTAAATTAAGTGTAAGTTCTTAAGACTGATGTTAGGAATATTAACTATTATATAGACACCACAAACCAGTTTAGAAGTTAATAAAACTATAAATAACAATGTCCTCCAAACCGAATTTTGATCACAGCGGCCAGTCTTAACGGAGACTGCCATCTGCGCAGGACAAGCACCCTCTATTCCCTCACACTCATAGTCCAATGGGACGGCAAGATACAACCAGAAAGATCAGGCACAGGTTTAATGGCTTTAGGTGCTTTCCGAGGCACGAGGGTGAAACACAGCCAACTTCCTGACTCTGGGCTGCTACTGAGAATTTCTTGATGGAAAAACTGATTTTAGCCTGACCCGGGACCTCATGATCTGCAACTGCTTTTAGGACCACTACACAATTATATGAAATTATATGGTTTTAAGGAGCAGAGGTCCAGGAGGTGGGACAGTTGTGAGAGATCTGGTGCCGTTTCATAACAGACCTGCACATAAGCGCGAGGGCCTGCTGTCGCTGCACCTGCGTGCGCTGCGACGCCATCTGTTGCTGCTGGTGGGCAAGCGTCTGCTTCATCAGCACCATCTTGATACTTTGCTCCATGGCGTACTTTTTTGCACGCGACACCGCCTCGCTTTGCTCGGACGACAGCCGCGGTAACGACCCGCCCAGTATTGCTGGCAGTGTTGAACATTTTGCTCCAGGGCCTGCAATATTTAAATATAAAATTTACAGACAGTCAATTAAGACGCATATAAAAAAAACGATTAAAATTAATCCTGTTTTTTTAATAAAAATAAAATCAATCTAAAACTTAATTAAAAAAATCATGTGAAATAATAGAAAAGAATAATTTTTTATTCAATATACTCGTAGATCACATGTGTAATTCTTATTGAAAGTCATTTTTTACTTTACCACTGGTTCAAAAAAAAACCTCTGTCCTGGGAAGAACCAGCAGGACTTTTTTTTACATTTTAATTCTTAATAAACTTGACAATATCTGGGCAATTCAAGAATAAGTTTGTTCACCTGTATACACATCCCCGACCTGCTGCAAATCGTACACCGGAGCATTTAGGAAGCCACCTGTAATGCAAATCAACGGTCAGCTTGAGTCAGTCATAACAACTGGACTTCAGTGGACGCTTGCACTCTCCATTCACTATCAAGCACTTGCATCACCCCCGCCTTTAGTTCTAAAGGTTCTATGAAAATAAATCACACCCAAAACTCCACTCAAGGCTTAACTTGACATGATAGAGATCATTCATCAATTGTCACTCACAATAAAGCTTTTAGAGGCAGGGCCCATTCACACAACAAGCAGACAGGGACGATGCGAATAATGAAGTAGGTACATTGTGCGGACGGAGAGCTGCCGCCGGGCCGGCCGGGTGCGTCGCAGCAGACGCAAATGCGTACCAAAAACCTAACTTATATATCTAGCCTGTAACAGAAAGCAGAACACTGATCACTGAGGGTACTCGAGAGCGAAGGCTGCGCCGCCGCCGCCACGCGCCACCGGAGCCCTGCAACAGCGAGCACACGCCGGTGTTAGAGCGCTCAACACGCCTCTGCACCACCTCTGCCCACCACTTTCACTCTGCTCCAGCCCTACTCACCCGCACCCGCCGTCGCCGTTGCGCTCGCTTCTCCTCCCTGCAACTGACATAGCACTGGTCACTTCATAATCACAGCCTAATAACACACACTTGCTTTTCCTTCATTTATCTTTTAAATGTATATTTAAAGCATCACCATTGGTAATGGTAGGTAATGCTACTATGAATTAATTATATTCTATTATTAAAACCTAACAATACAAATATGACAATAAAATGAAAAATTTTATATTAACAGTCTTAATAAGATTGGAAGGAAAATCACTATCATAAAAAAAAGTATTTTGATTTTAATGTTATGTTTAATATAATATGTATAATATGTTGTTCAACATATATAATTATATTAAAGTAAGACAGAAAGACCATTTATTCACTTGTACTATATACCTAGTCAGGTCATAAGTATTGTCACACAGTAAAAACTTTTCTTTTAGAATGCTGGCCACAAAAAAGTTTATTGAATTCGAATTTCGAATTGTTCATGAAAATAATACTGTCTACTTTTTAGAATTTTACTCATTTTTAAATATGGAGTGGACGCTTAAAGAAGACCGTGTTGCAGTTATTGCGTTGCATCGTTGCGGTTACACCCCAATTAAAATTTTTGACATACTGAAAAATTTGAATATAACCAAAAGATTCGTTTATCGTACCATCAAACGATACAATGAAGACTCTAGTGTAGATGACAGGTCAAGATGTGGTCGCCCTCAGTTTGTTAGGACTCCAGCAGTGATAGAAGCTGTGAAGGCGCGAATTCAAAGAAATCCCAAACGTAAGCAGAAACTGTTGGCCCTTCAGATGGGGTTAAGCAGAACCACAGTGAAAAGGGTGTTAAATGAAGACTTAGGGCTTCAAGCATATCAAAGAAAAACAGGACATCGTTTGAATGCTTGTCTAATGAACCTGAGACTGAAGAGATGCCGCGCTTTGTTGAAGCGGTACGCGGGAAAAAAATATCGGGAAATTCTTTTTTCGGATGAAAAGAATTTTACTGTAGAAGAGAGCTACAACAAACAAAATGATAAGGTGTACGCACACAGTAGTGAAGAAGCGAGCAACCATATTCCACGTGTCCAACGAGGTCGTTTTCCATCCTCGGTCATGGTATGGTTGGGAGTTTCTTATTGGGTCTTAACAGAGGTATATTTTTGTGAGAAAGGTTTAAAACGAATGCAGTTGTGTATCAAAATACAGTCCTGACGAACCTTGTGGAACCTGTTTCTCATACCATGTTCAATAACAGGCACTGGGTATTCCAACAAGATTCGGCGCCAGCTCATAGAGCGAAGAGCACACAAGACTGGCTGGCGGCGCGTGAAATCGACTTCATCCGGCACGAAGACTGGCCCTCCTCCAGTCCAGATTTGAATCCGTTAGATTACAAGATATGGCAACACTTGGAGGAAAAGGCGTGCTCAAAGCCTCATCCTAATTTGGAGTCACTTAAGACATCCTTGATTAAGGCAGCCGCCGATATTGACATGGACCTCGTTCGTGCTGCGATAGACGACTGGCCGTGCAGGCCTTCAGGCCTGTATTCAAAATTACGGAGGTCATTTTGAATAAACTTTAGTGTCATAAGAATCTATGTTTTGTTAAGTTCATTTTGGTATATAAATGAATAAGCTTGTTTCAATTATTTTATATTAAACATGTGACAGAATTTATGACCTGACTAGGTACATCATGAATAAAAAAAGAACATTACATATGGGGGGAATTAAGACTATAAGTGGTAGTGTGTGTCAACCAGAGTAAAGATAACTCAGTGTAATGCTGTTAAATATGCACAAAATCTGCCTAGCTATGATTTTTATTGGTTGGAATTTATAATATATAAATTAAAATATTTTAAAATATACAATGCATTTCTTAACTATAAAACTTTAGTTTTGTTGTTTTTGATGGTTTAATCAAACTTCAACTTCATACTACAAACACCATTACTAGCAGTGTGGTTATTTTATTATACAGGGAAAACAAATATATAGTTCAATTTACATTTTAAGGCAAATTAATACTAACTATTCTGCCGTCGTACGAGAGAAGGGCACATCTATCATTTTGGTCAAACTGAGATAATTGGGATTAAAGTTTTTACCATATTCTGCTTCATAGTGTGAAAACCTATCGCTTAAAAGAAAAAAAAATACTGATGATATATGCGTGAAGGTTAGTACTATTATATTTTTTACTTTTTAATTTTTATATATAATTAATTATTAAATAAATTCAAAAAAATCTTTTCAACTTAAAAAAAAAATATTTTAAAAATACCACTTACTACAAAGAAAAGGCATAGTTAACCAAATGTGACCTTTCTTTTTAATATTTCAAGCAAATTGGTCGTTGAGTCTAAAAGAAAGGGCACATTTGTCTAATTGCTCCTTTTTTAGTGTAAATTAACTTAATTTTTTCTACAAAAAAAAAACAAATAATCATGTGAAGAAAGTTTAATAAACTATAAAACATATTTATAATATTATCATGCCATTTCTCGTTAGGTTATCCAAATAACTGAAACAAAACTTAACACATCTTCTCTAGGACACCAACATTTAAAGAAAAAAAACGTTCTTAATATTCAATAGTTATTTATAAATTATTGGGGATAAGCATCTACACACAATTTTGGTTAACAAATAGAACTTATGAATTAGAAACAAAAAGGAAAGTAAAAATTAATTACTTTTATTCTTTTTACTAATAGGTTGGACCCTAACTTAAAAATCTATAAAAAAATAGTTACTCTAAATCACAATATGAAAAATAAATCAAAATATTCTTAATTCTTAATAGAGGTAGTAATTAGGAGCATACATTTTGGTTTTGAACTTTTATATAATTATAAAAAACAATAAATAATTAGAATAAGCTCTAATAGAGTACCTTATACTCTATTAGAGCTTATTCTAATTATTTATTGTTCATTTACAGGAAATAGCTTACACACGTAATTATTAAAGGCACTCGTAATTTAATATTTTTAAAAATACTATTATTATTATAAAAATTAAATGTAACTATAACAAACATAACATGGCACTTGGTTGAATTATCACAATGCAATATATTTGGTAATAACTATAAAAAAGTATAAAGAAAATTAAATAATCAGTTTTGCTTAAAATATTAATTTAAAAAATAGTCTTTTATTTCAGTCTTCATAAATTTCTGTGAGATCAGCTGAACTGTCGTTAACGGGTAGGGTTTCCCAAAAACCTCTTCTGTTGTCAGGCATGAGTGGCCCAAGCTTGGAAAGTATAGCTGATTTCCTCTCAGATGTTATACCTCGTGGAGAAAGCTTCTGCTTAGGCAATGGAATACCAATTTTAAGATTTTTAATTCTCAAGAAATCCAATTCTATTTGCTCTTCAGTGTCATGGCTGTTCTTGTAGAACATCGAATTGCTCCCACGCCGAAAAGTGATTTCAGACATGTTTCTTAAATAAGCTCGCGGCACAGAATGTTGTAATTTATACGACGAAGAACAGTCTTCAAAATCGTGAAAATCCTGGACTGTCATTTTTTTCACCACAGTATTTGAACCAGTATCAGCGACAGCTTTGCAAAAATCTTCAAAGTCATACACTCGCTTGTTCTTCTTAAGTGATTGCTCCACTCTATGGTGAAATTCATCGGCAGCCATAAAAGTATGACCAACTTCCAGATAACGCAGCACAATACTTTCAATATTTACATCCTTTGAATTGACTAAATATACTAAGTAGGAAAAAAGGCACCAATTTTTGTTTTGGGCCGCGCAGTTATCCAACCACAAAATCACATTTTTGCAGTCCCGGTTTTCAAAGAAAAATGCTTGAAAGCAGCTAATTATGTCTTCCTTTTTTCTCCCTGCAATAGCTTCGTGCCATAAGACTCCCAGTGTTTTGCCAACTCCATGTAACCTTTTGTCACCTACAGGAACAAAACTCTGATTGAAAACGATAAGCCTTGGACAAAACATTACCGTTTTAAATTCTTCCATGCGAGGTAACATAATTACCTTTTCTAAATCAACTGCAAATATTATGGTGTCGGTAATTTTTTGCTTCGTTTGGCTTTCAACATCCTCTTCATATTTTTTTCTCGCTGAAATGTACCTAGTGTGATGATCTTCATATTCTTGGCATTCTTCGCAATTCCTGTGCCTTATTTCCACGTTAGGGTTGTGAATAGAAAATTTTTCGCACAATTCACATTCCTCGTGTCCAAGCTTTGTGAAGGATATTTTAAGGTCATTTACGACATTCCTATAAAATCCATAGGACACATTTATTTCAGGTTCTTTCTCACAGTAATTGTCGTACATCATGCGGATATTGATATCCGAGGGCAAATATTTCCGGTTTGGTGCATGAACTCTCCTATAATGCGACACAACTGGACGAAAAGACATAATATGTTCTTTTACCTTTGTACTGTCTATTTGTGATGGATTCGGGTTATGACCTCGGCCGTCAGCAATAGGCTCTGCGTATTGTGTTTTATAGTATGTGTCAATAATGTTTCTCACAGCCTTACAGTTACTTTTCTTGTAACCCAAAGTTGTGAGAAAAAACATTTTACATACCGTAACTTTCTCACCGTTTTCATCACATAAGAAATACGAAACAGTCTTAGTTCGATCATAGTGTTTACCATGCTCATTATCATGACTTTTTTTCTTTGGTCTTGCAGGCTTTTGCTGGATAGTATTAGCTAAAAAAAAGTGTTTTTGTTCCGACCAAGACATTTTCCAGAAATTACGATTAATAATTTTGCGGTAATCCTCTGAGAATTTCGTTGAACATTTTTTTTTACAAATGTTCTCTTGGCATCCGGGTTTCACAAAATATTTGGTATATATTTTTTCTTCTCTTTTAATTTTCTTTCGTTCTTTAAGACTAACATCATATCTTTTGCGCTTTCTTACTGTCCCTTTTTTTGTAAGTTCATCTTTTGTAGATTCATCTGAAGATTCTGGAATCGTTTTTTCCAAACACGGTTGAGAACATGGAATGACGTCTGATTCGGAGCCAGAATCATCCAATAAAATATTGGCTTCACGTCGTTCATAGTTTTCATTATGACCCCTCATATTTAAGTTTTTAACCACTGATTGTTTTGAGCATTGAGCGGCAATAATGTACGTTTTGTGGTTTTTTGGTGGCTCATAATCTTTATCGGCTACTGAATCGTCTGAATCAAAATCTGATTCTGATACTAGAATTTGTGGCGACCAGTTTTGTAGACCACTAGTGGACGGAATCTGTTCGTCAATATCAGATCTAAGCTTTAGATTTTGTAAAGCGGCGCTTACTAATCTTTTACCACGTGACTGCATTTTTAAAATTATCTGAAATAAGGGAAAAACAAGTGAAGTTAATGATAATATATGTTTATCATATTCCTACTTAATTCATTAAATATTATGATATGTCACATAAGTGTTGAGCTAAGGCACGGTAACATTATCTTATACAATTCCAACTTCATACAAACGGACGAAGCGCGGGCTATGCCTACGCACCTCGACCTCTGGGTGTAGACATAGTTAGATAATAATAATATTACCGTGGCTTTGTTTGACACATCTGTCTAAAAACCGACAGGTAACTGTTGAGATTACTTAGGTGTACGACCTAACCTACAAAGTTATGTACCTACTTACTTGAATAAGAAACAACATGTAAACATGGATAAAACGTAAATAAACTTACCTAGCGCGGGCAAGCTGTTGACAAGCGTGGAGTCTTCGACGTCGCAGGCACAACTGGCGCATTTCAATCAAACCCTGCCCTCCTTTCCTCACCCCTAATCGTGAATAATTTAAAGAAAAGGCACAACTGGTTATCTGTGCCTTTTATACGTAAATTAATTGAGACATACATGGATCATTAATTAAGTAGACAAGGCACATCTGGCATTTGAGCCTTTTCTTTATGTTATGTTGCAGGTGTGCCTTTTCAAAGTAGTTTTTAGTAAAAATCTGTAGGAAGTAATAGTCACATCTACGTATTTGTGCCTTTTCAATATAATGGTAAATAAATGTGCCTTTTCATTCTATAAAATATGAATATTAGTCTCATTTGTGCCTTTTGAGCCTACTGTATCTCCGAATTCCTTGAAGATAAAATTCTACAAAAAATTGAGCAGATGTGCCTTTTTTTTCTGATTCTAAATATGTATATAACTCAATTTTTAAAAAAATGTTAGTTGTGCCCTTTTTTCTTACGACGGCAGTATTCTAAAAAAGCTAATTTAATAACAGCTCTAAAAGTAGGTACAAATGTAACAACTATATCAATCAAGTGGCTAAAAATTTCATTGTGATATATCTATAGTTAGGAGTAGGTCAGTACAGTCGCCTGTTATTAAGTATAGTGGATTTTAATAGTGATGTCTGCACAAAATAGAAATTATTATTTTTAAGATATCATTGCTTTAAATTTTCATCTCTGACTTTCTATTCAAATATATCTTTGAATTCATTCTTTTCTTGGCTCTAATAAATCTTCTTGCTTATGTTAGAACTTTTGATTTTATTAGCAAAGTGAGTGTTCTGCTCATCCATATCTGTCCTATGTGGACAGATTATATTTTAATATTTTATTGATATAAATATATAATATGGTTAAAATATCATGAATATTTGTTCATAAATATCTTAGTTACATATTTATTCTAGTCTTACTATCAGGTTTTCAAAACTGAAAGATTACTACACATATTAAAAAATGACTTGAAGAATGCCTCACCTTTACATCAAATACCCAAAGGTAGCACTCAAATGACTACTGTTTGAAAAATCTACTTTTATACAATGTTTCAGCACTCGGAAACTCAGTTATTGGGAAAATAGAGAATATTTACTAGATTTTCTTCAATAATATTGCTTGTTTTACATAAGTTTACACATATTTGACATGTTGTGTTTTGTTTGAGCAAATTGTGTTGAGGTTTTATAAAATTTAAATATTATTATTTTTGTACTTTGCAATAAAGATAAAAATAAATAATATTACATTATGTGTTACAGAAAACTATTCAAATTTTAATCAACACAATCAGTTTAAAAGTGTTTTGATGAAAGAAGTTTAGGCAAAAGTAGTGTTGACTGAGAAATTTTAGTAGAGATTTTGATCAATAGGGTCGAAAGTAATTATGACCAAGAGTATGTTTGGACCAGGAATACCTAGCAAAAACATTGTTTGATATTATATAAAATGTTCATTGCCAATCAATTTAAGAACAATTGTTTCTTGAATTAATTAGTTTTTGCAGACTAGCAAACTAGATTAGAGCCATGTACTTAATTATGTTGGGAAAAGTAAATTCAGTGACAGTAGGTTGAAGTGCAGCTGGTAAACATATAGTTCATCCTGAAGGGCATAGAAAAACCTAACATGTCCTAAAATTGAGTGTGGCCAGTAACAAAATGCTTTTGACTACTTTCAATAAAAGAAATTGAGTTGCAACAGGGAAAGCACCATGTTTAGTACATTTCTTTTTAAATAAAAGGGGGAGAAGAACAATTTTTAAAATTGCCACTGAAAGATTATAGTAGGCAGGACATAACCCGCCTAGCACCGAATGACACTCCCAACATAACCAAAAAACAGTATCTAAATTACCGTATCGTGTTAATTTACTTCGCATACGTTGCTTGGGTTTGTAAATATGCAATTTTTGTTAACAGATTTGTTATTATTCTTCATCGTTTAATTCGCTTCGCAAAATGGTCAAGAACTATCAAGTGGCATTATGAAGTTGCACAAGTAACTAAAACTTACCAACTCCATTTTTGCTTATGTCTATAGAATTACTTCCGAAATTTAGGAGGTGGACTAGCTTTAAGTAACTGAAACGGAATTTAGGTTAAGTCATTTAAAGTAGTCAACACTTGCTCGCGGAAATTGAAATTGAAGAAAGCGAAGCGTTAGTTTTCTATCACAGATGTCAAATGTCATAATCACAGAGAATAGAATTAAATCACTATGTCAGTCATAGAGTCATAGGCTCACATAGCTCATAGCCACAATCCAAATCCAAACGAATAGGAGTTTTGGCGGGAAATTGACCGGCGGCGGATTGTTGCTCCTGTATTACTGTTTAAATAATGGTTTGAAGTGGACTGCGATATGTAAAAGTGGTGCAATTTTGTGTATTAAGTGTCTGCGCATGTGAGCTATTAGTGGAAACTGTGAAATAAGCGTCTGATGGTGATGTGATTCTCAAAATAAGGTGTCTGTCTGCTTAGGCACCTTGAGATACCATCGCCAACCGTCAGCTGTCTGCTGGCTCAAGTTGCCGTCAAAATATCCCAAGGGCTGCACAATGTGATGCATCAACACATTATTGTGAAGCGTTATACTATAATGGATAATTATAATATATTGTAACTTCAGGCTCAGAAGGGCTAGATCCCAGAGCCGTGAAGCAAGTTATTAAAAATAACCAAACGAATAAGTGCCAGCGCATCTCACAGGATAATGATCTGAGACCGAGATCGGTTTTTTGGAATTAAGGAATCGATTCTTAAATGGGCCTGAAACCGCTCGTAAAAGGCTGATTCATGAAGGAATTACTTTATCTAATATCACTTTTATAAGCTGGCAATTGTTTATTACAGAAATTAATTAATTACAGTTACATAACTCTGCTGTACACTCATTATCAGGTGGACTTTGGTGTATTCGTTCTTCACCCTCATTCTATAAAAAAAACTTCTTTCGTCTAAAAACCTCTGATATTATTAGCATAATGGCAAAAGAAGAACCCAAATGAAGTTGTAAAAAAGTACTATTTAGAGAGTTTAAACTCCGTTTTTTCTAAGAACTCTTAAAGAGACCGTTTTTGGACTTATTTCAATGTAGTGTACTGTGTAAGCAATTTTGACGAGTTGCATTGATTTTTGCTGTTTAAACACTAAAGTTCGATAAATTGGAGGCAGTACATAAACTAACAAGGAGCAAAGGAATACGGACCCACCCCCGCAAACCACGCCCGTTCCAATAAACATATAAACATCCAATAAAACTTTAAAATTTATTATATGTATCCGCAGTTTAACCAGAGTAACCGACATAGCCCAACGGATTAGTAAGCTGAAGTGGCAGTGGACCGGCCATATGGCTCGAAGAACCGATAACCGATGGGGACGAAAGGTTCTCGAGTGGCAGCCTCGTACCGGTAGGCGAGGTGTAAGGCGACCTCCCACCAGATGGAGTGACGACCTGGTAAGACGTGCAGGAAGTCGATGGATGCAGGTGGCTCAGGACCGTGCTTTGTAGCATTCCTTGGGGGAGGCCTATATTCAGCAGTGGACTTGTGAAAGGCTGTAATGATGATGATTAAATATTTATGTAATAGGATTATCTGGGTGTGCTATTTTCTGAAACATTTTATATCCATATGAAAAATAATACCTACAAAGAAATTCATCAGTAACTTATTTACCTACTGATAGTTTTAATGTACAATATAAACACAAAAAATATTTAGTAAAGTATTTAACAGCGTTAGGTCGTCCCAGGCACTAACTATTTTATTTTATCTGTGGTTAATAAATTTAAAAAATTTAATATAATAACGAATTTTCTGACGAAGTCTGAATTGTTATTCTTATTATCATAATATGGTATAGTTATGGAAAATACTTATAAATTCATTGTTAATTTTTATTTAGTGGAAATAACTGGACATCAAGCTTTTTCTTTGGACAGAACAACAATTTTGACTAAAATATGACATTTTTGTTGATAAGTTACAATGTCTGTAGGTAAACTAATTCACAATTATTTTTTTCGTTTAAAGATTAACTACAGTAAAATCGCTTAAATGAAAATTGATATTGCAATGCTAATAATAAATCTAATTTAGAATCAATTCTATAGTGCTCGATTTAAATCGAATCGAAAACCGATGTTTTTCAGTACAAAGTGACATGCCTAGTCAAAATCATATATGTGTTTTCTATATAGAGGATGCGTTAAATTAGGATGGCGCAACAATAGCAGCAGGTTAAATTTTAAATTCATTATTTTAATTTATATATTTAAATTAATTAAATTTTTAAACTAACTAAAGTTTATCAAAAACCAAATGATAAAAAAATCACGTGTCAATTTTTGGATGAATTTTTGTTTTAGAATGAATCATAAAAAACTTTGAACATATGTTTCTTGGCATAAAAAAAAAACTAATCTTTTAAAATTTTTTTTTTAACTCGGCAAACTTTAATTCTGCACTATCTACCCGAGCGCCATTCGGCAGCTATGGTAGCGCCAGGTTTATGAACTGTTATTTATTGCTTACACTTTTTCATCTTATCCCACATATGAG